TATGTGATTTGCTTCTTTACACTCTTATGCGATTCAAGAAAACCCAATTATTGTGCAAATGCAAACATGACGGATTTTAATCTGATTGAAAAAACGATTAACATACTGTAGAAGTTAAAGTAACTGAGTTTTGAAAGGATGAAAAAGTCACTGTCTCCTTCAGTTTGTGGGCAGTTCAGGGGTCCACCTGAAGCGAGACTTCTTCCTGACGCACGCGTCCAGCGCTCGCTCTGAACTCTTCATCAACCTGAGGGAGGTCAGCTCGAGGCTGCAGCTGCCGGCCGGAGAGTACGTCATCGTCCCGTCCACGTTCGAGCCGCACAAAGAGGCTGACTTTGTCCTCAGGGTGTTCTCGGAGAAACCTGCCAATTCTGAGTGAGTGGTTAGGGGAGAAGAAGCTTTGGGAATAATGACTATTGTTTTTGTATATTGTTTCTCATATTCTATACATTTATCAGCTGTGTTTCTGGAGACTTTTTTGTCCAGGTTAAAGAATCAAGCTTTCTAAATCTAGAGGAAGTCAAAAAATTGCTTGCAAACAAATATATCATTTAAAAAATAGGAAACAGAGTAACCTTGAGTCTTTGTTCTGTCCATGTCAGAGAGCTTGACGATGACATAAAAGCAGATCTTCCAGTAGAGGTAAGAGAATGAAACATTACACGACACGAGTACACGCATGATGTCTGAAAGAAAAACGCTCAAGACGTTAAATATTTGTGTTTCAGACGGAGCTCGACGAGAGCCAGATCGACGCGGGCTTCAAGGGTCTCTTCAGACAGCTGGCGGGGCCGGTAAGCAAACCTTGCATGGAGTGAAGAAGCAGCTGGGAGAAAGGGATCACTGTATACACAGACAAACTTACATTGTTATAATAACCCTTTTTGTGTTTGTACCAACAGGACATGGAGATCAGTATCACTGAACTGCAGACCATATTGAACAGGATCATCGGCAAACGTTAGCAGTGGATTTACAAGCTTGTGTTATGACCAGTATTGAAATATATATTCTTAGTTTAAAAAAAAAAAACGATAAGTGGAGTTAAATCTGTTTTGTTGTGTGTCTTACTTCTACTGCCAACAGATAAAGACCTGAAGACCGACGGCTTCTCTAAAGAAGCTTGTCGTAGCATGATCAACCTCATGGACGTATCCTTTGAAATTGCAATACAACATTTATAATATCTATAAAACATAAATAATATCAGGGTCAAACAATGTAGATTCTTTAAGGTCATTGAATGAGAACTGTTTCAAATAAACTTTGCACTCCTATAACATTGCTACTTCAGAAATAAATAAAACAAAGTAAGTTAAACCAAACCCGAAATATTTGGTGCCTCAATTACCCACAATGCATGTGGGTAATTGAGCTGACTCTAGTGACATCACTTGAGGCGATTTAGTAGGCTTTTTTTTGCTATCAGTTGTGCTAAGAAATGGCAAAATCGATATAGCGTAAATTCAGATATCTGACACCACACTAGCTAGACTGCTGCCGATTAGCTGTGTCATGCTAGTAGCAGCTAACTTAGCCCTCAAGCTGCTAGCATGTAGCCGTGATGAGGAATGTGCCAAAGAGGTTCAGTTAAACTTCAAAACCTCAGAATTGTATCATTTTTAAACGTCGTCTTCAGTACAGAGGCTGACTCTAGTGACATCACTTGAGGCGATTTAGCAGGCTTTTTTTTGCTATCAGTTGTGCTAAAAGGTTTAAGCTTTGACTTAACGAGCTCAGACGGACGGCAGTGGGAAGCTCGGCCTGACAGAGTTTCATGTTCTGTGGGAGAAGATCAAACGGTATCTGGTGAGTTTGAACACTGATGGAGAAATCAGGTCAAACAGTATTGATTTAGAATCACTGCACTTGCGTCAGCCTGATATTTATTTTGATGTCTAGCCAGTGGAGTGGTTTTAAGTTTTTCTGTTTGCTTTCTGAGAACTAGTTTCTTCCATTTTTCATATTATTGTCTCTCCATTTTGAGTCATTTTTCTCCACTTGTCTCTGCCACCATGTCAGACCATATTCAGGCAGTTTGACTTGGACAAATCGGGCACCATGAGCTCCTATGAAATGAGGATGGCTCTTGAATCTGCAGGTACTGTTCCCTTTTTACTTCAATTCAACAAAAACTTCAAGGATCAGAGGTTTTGCCACTTTCCTTCACTTTCCTTCCCCTTCTCTCTTTTGTGACATTTTAGTTTTTCTTCTTTGCTCTTCTGCCTCTGACACTCTAATTATCCTGTGACAGGTTTCAAGCTGACCAACCAACTGTTCCAGCTGATCATCCTGCGTTACACAGAGGCAGACATGGCCGTGGATTTTGATAACTTTGTCACCTGTCTGGTCAGACTGGAGACTATGTACAGTGAGTCCCTTTACTGCATACCAGTAGTGTTGTTAAAGGAACAGTTTGCATTTGTTTTGCTTTGTTTTAAAGACTTTCTAAAGACAATCAAAGTCAGATGCAGATCCAGATCCAATGTGTTAGGGATTTTGCAAGACAAACCACTGCAATTTAATCAAGTGCAGAGGATCAATATACTTTAAAAAAAAACTCTTAGCGGCACACCCAGGTATCATCTATGTGTGGGAAACACTGGAAAGACTACATGACTTGGTGCCTTTGACAAAATACATTTGTTTGTCAAGTTTTTCTCTTCAACATTTCCAAAGACTTAACAATACAAAACCAATAACCTTGCTGTCAGGATAAATAAGTAATTCCCTTCCATTTTGTCATTGCAGAAACCTTCAAGACAATGGACACAGACAATGACAATCTTATATCACTCACCTTCTTTCAGGTATGCCCGTATTCTTTTTTATGTTGCTGTGTTGGACATTTAAAACCACTTCTCTGATGTAAGTACCTGTGAGTTACCGTGACCTCATTCACCTTTCTCTGTGTTCTACAGTGGATTACTCTGACCATGTTTGCCTAAAGCTGAGTGGACTCTTCTGTAACTGTTGCACTGCATCCCACTGCAGCTCCAGGTCCCAGTATTTTGTTGTTTTCAGAAGTGCCTTTCTCCTCCACCAGTTCTTCCTCTGAGGCCCTCTGATGCTTACAGACTGTAAACTCATCTGTACAGTGCCTATACTGGAAACACGTCCTTTATTTGTCACTGGGAGTGTACCTTTTGTAGCCTGGCAGTTCATTTTGCGGTAGCCCCGGCTGTTAGCTAGGCACACTATTTTTAGTGGTACAAATCATTTTTGAAGGCGGAACAACTATCGGATTGATATAAACATATTGGTTAAATTTCAGTGTGTGAAAACAACAAAGTCCCTTTTTTTTTTTTTAGCAATATGAAGCTAGCTTTGTTGAAAAAAGACATCCCTCCATAACCCCCTCTGCTTAGCCTAAAGAAGCTAGCTTAGCTAAGATAGGGTGACCGTATTTTCAAAATCGGAAGGCTTTAACTTTAATTTTAACCGCAAACCCTCATGTATTGACCTGCACTGGTGACACAAGAAGTAAGGGATAACTTAACTGGGGCTCTTTGGAAAACGCAGCAGGTCTTGTTAATATGATTAGCTGGGCTAGCTAAGCAACAGCCTTGGGAACGACATTGATTTACATATATGGAGACAAATCAATGTTACAAGCATGGCGCATTGTGGTGGTTGGTTAAAATCTGGGCCAGGGACTGTTCAAAACTGGGACATATTAGTGTTTTATAGATATTTTTGGGGATTTGGGACACAGGTTGAAAACGGGATGGGCCCGGTGAAATTGGGAAGTATGGTCACCCTAAGCTAAGAGGTTTCAGAACACAAAACTCACAAATTCACAAAAAAATAGAAAGATCACTTAGTTAGCCTAGCCAAGCTAAGCTAACTCAAGCTAACTCATGTTGTAAACAAATCCAAATGTTTAGTTCTTGACTTCTGTTCGTTCTTTGCCACCTTAATCTTTCCACCAACTCTTTTAACGCCCCATATTCAGCATCTATGGATGACCTTTACTTTGCCTAAGCAGCGCTGTTGCCTGTCTGACATTTTCTGTTTACATCTGGTGCCAAACTTAGCTTTCTGAGCAACAAGGGTCCATCATTAAATTTTTTCCAGGCCCTGCACTGCTGAGACAATGGTGATGTGCTGTAACATATGAGAATGTGTTTATTCCTGTGTAGCTTTAAGACTTACAGAAGTTGCTTATCTTAACGCATGACACTTTTTACAGACTGTTTTTTTTTTTTTTTTACTAAATATGAAAGAAAAATTGAATGAAATTGTTTTTTTTATCATGGCTGGAACTGGATGTCAATGCTTTTTAATTTTTTTTTTAAAAAGGGATGAGTCAGCCTTTTTAATATTTACAATATTTACAGTGAAGGTAAATACATTATGCAAGATAAATGGATATGTCGTGTGCATGCTGTTTGAAATGTTGTCTGCCTGCCTCAATTCTGTTCAACCGGGGGAGCAAGTGCTAAAGAGGTTTTTGAATAATGTCACTTTTATGTTAAAAAACAAAAAGTCTCGGAAGTATTTAAAATCTTTGTATACAGTGTCAGATTTTTGTGAATCTGAAAATGTGTTCAAATACCAAAAATAGCTAGTCCTGCCAATATTTTTAACCCTCATCTTATTTTTATTTTTTTGTAAATGGTGGGATTCAATTTGAAACATTTATTCATAAAATGTGGCCCCAGTACTGTTAGATTTATTTGCCTTTTTGAGGCAGTGCCAGCATTCTTGTCTTCACTTTTTTGCAGCGTAATGCTTATATAACCAAACGTTTACATTAGTAACATTCAGAGTCCCTTTGGACTCATTCATCATCCGTTGCATTGGTTTACTGCGCAGTGTGTCTGTAAAACTTCCATGCATACTTTGGAATTAAACATGGGGAGGATTTTACGAGTGTCTGGATTAATGATCAATTTTTTTCTGCTGATGCGTCTAATAAAAGGCTCTCAGATTATTTTTTATGATTGAGATGTTTAACCTCATTAACATACCCTGAAGAACAGCACAAACACATTTGATATGATAATAAATAGCATCTTTAGTAACAACATTCATATTTAAAAAAACAAGCACCGTACAATACCTTAATGTACACGTTTCAACATCACAATATTTAGATTTTTTTTACAGCAGATTTGTGCTCATTGTTAAGTTAAATTGCAGACATTTACACAAACTGATCACATGTTTTAAGTTAGAACAAATACGTTTCATTTCAAATGATACAAATAGAAAATTGACGAGCCGCTCGGGATGGGAATGTAAGATGTCACATTAAGGCACGGTGGAAAGAAAACAATTTGTGTGCGTTCTGTATTATAGAATACCACAAAAGTCCAATCCTCAACTTAATACTGAAATAGCTTTTCTTTGACACAATAACACTAAGTGTGAACCATAACCACTTTAAGTCTCCTACATTCTTACTACATTGCTAAAAATTCTATCCTCTTACTAGCACTACAGAACATGGTGTCTCTTAGACAAAGTTGTTGTTGTGCTCAATCCTGGTCACCATGGTGGATACAAGCCGCTCCAGCTGCTCCGCTCTCTGCTTCCCCGTCTGAAGAACTTCCTCGTGGTTGGCCTTCTCTTGGCTGTCGTAGTCCATCACCGCCTGGTTGGTGATCAACGAGAGGGCGAAGACACGCATGCCGCAGTGACGGGCGACGATCACCTCAGGGGCTGTGCTCATTCCTATTGAGTAGAAGAGAGGTTGAAATAAAACTTTAAAAAAAGATGCAAGGATAAGTAAGAAAGCCACGCATATTAAAGGTTTATTTCGCTAATAAGGATCATAAGAAGAAACACAAATCTTATGTTACTAATTGTTGCTAGCTAAAACAAACTTCCAGTAGGCCTACCTATTGAGAGAAGGCCCACATTGAACTAAAACATTACAAAAGACATCATGGACATAATCATTCTTTTTTTAAAACAATTTTTTATCACTGTTGTAGCTGCAGAAGAAGATCAGAGCATTTTGCTAACGACTGCTTGCAACAATAACATGCTTAGCCTATAGGCTTATTTAAAATTATTTTTTTTAAACTGCTAATTTCTAGGGAAAGGAAGGGCACATTGAAATAAAACCTTAAAAAAGGCCTGGATAGATAAAAGAGAAAAAACACAAGATTATTTTCACTATCATATCTTCAAGGGGATAAATGCTAAGCTAATTTCACTAATGGGCTAGCTACATTAAAATTTGCAATTTGACCAAAACCTGTGCTTAAACCTAATGATTGAAAGAACATATTGATATTAATCATAGAAATAATAAATATTAATAATTATTACTTTATTTATATAGCACCTTTCAAGAGGAATGGATGCCAAAATAAATATCAAAGAATATTTTTCAGGAGAGTTAATGTTGCTGTTGAGTACTAGCTAGATTAATACAGACTTGTACTTTAACTATGATATATTGTATTGGTGACTTCAAATCTTTTTTTGGCTACTCACCAACAGCATCAGCACCCAGTTTGTGAAGCATACGGGACTCAGCGATGGTCTCAAATGAGGGTCCACCCAGCACGCAGTACACGCCCTCCTTCAGGAAGTCTCCATAGCCGAGCTCCTGTCCCACGTCCATGGCTAGCTGCTGGAGATCTCTGTCATAGGCGTCGGACATGCAGGGGAAGCGCACACCAAACCTAAGGGAGGAAGAAGAACAGGTGGAAGGTTTAGTGGGGAAAGGTAAAAGGAAATGTTGCTGAATGTCTGCAGACCACTTTTGCAGTAGTAGGTCTAGTGCGTAAAAGAGAACAGGATTGCATAACGCTACCTTTCATCATTCGGTCCAGACAATGGATTGTTGCCAGCGAATCCTGGCATGTTGAGGTGGTCTTTGATGATCATGACATCTCCAACTTTAAAGTCCTGATTGAGGCCTCCGGCAGCGTTGGTTAGCATCACTGTTTCCACGCCGAGCAGCTTGAAGATGCGTATGGGCAGCGTAATCTGGAGAGGAACACGTATGTTGTATTAGAAGGAACTCTGGTTGACAGGATCTTTTACTAGCATGACTAGATTGAATACAAGTATTTGAATGTTCTCCGAGATGTTGCACCACACTCACCTTCTGGATCGTGTAGCCCTCGTACAAGTGGAAGCGCCCTTGCATGCAAACGCACGGCCGCCCCTTCAAGGTGCCGAACACCAGCCGACCCGCATGTCCGTGCACTGCAGGTTAAAATACATCCACTCAGTGAATATGAACAGGAAACGGAAGAGAGAGAAAAAAGTGTGTCACTTTAGTTGGATTTAAACTCACCGGTGCTTTGTGGAAAGTTTGGGATGTCTTTGTAGTTGAAGGCCACCTGGTCCTTTAACATGTCAGCCAGCCCTCCGAGCCCTGAGCCGCACACGATGCCCACTGTGGGTCGGACGTCTGTCTGCGCCAGCAGCCAATCGGCAGTGGCCTTGCAGTCCTCATAGCTGTAGCTGCATGACATGAAAAACAGAGTCAAAGGTTAGGACGAACTTTAGGTTGTAAGGGATACACGCACAGGTCAGGGCAATAATTCAAGTCAGCTGAGTCTGATTTGTCTTTAAAGGCTGGGGGAGAGCTTTGTGTGAAGCCAAGTGAGCAAGATAAGAATGAAAACTGAACCCAGAAAGATCAGCAGTTACATAATACAAGTTTTTTTTGTGCACTTTTTTGCTTATTCTGTCCAATAGATGTCGTCAAACAGTCAGAGTTGTGCTTTGTCTAGAGGGGTTTTCTATCCCTTTTTTCCACCTTACACGTTCAGTAACATGTGATGTGCTAATCACATTACAGGGCAAGAGCTATTTTCTGGGCGGCAAGCCTAATCTGAGAACTGATACTAATAAGGATATGACTTTTGAAGACATACACAGACACATTCCTGCAGAGTCAATGCAGTATCATTCCCCTCGTGCATGGTGACACACACACTGTTTAAAGGTTTGCTAAAGTGAAATTAAACATTTACTTATTACATTGTAATAAGTGAAACTCCTGTAACAAGCTGCTACTTTCACTGCCACCCAGACTTAGATCAACCTATGTAGTGTTATGTTCTTAAAGACCGTCTTTGAAACTTGCTGTTTCTGTTATTTGAACCATGAAGTCACAGAAAGACATTAAAAGAATATGGATATTCATTATGGTGTCATCAGCAAAAAGCAGCTTTTAAAGTGCCAAAGACATACTTTTTTCCCCCCGCGTGGACTCCCTTTGGAAAACGAATGGCTGTTGTTACTTAACATCCGCTACCCAAAGCACATGAGCACAATTTTTTTGGGCCCCCTGCCAAACATTCCTGTTTTATTCTGTACCCCTCGCCCTCAGCCTGTCCATGAATGGACCATGTGTCCGGCAGCATGGAGAAGTGAAAGCTGAAAAGAACACACTGTTCAGAAGTGTACTCACCCTTTGTTTGTCTCTGGAAACATCTCGGAAGATTAAAAAAAAGAAGTGTCTGATGTTGGGGGGGGGGGGAAGAGTGAATGTGTGAATACACGCTTTGTAGGCGCAGAAAATCTAATTCCAAGGCAGGGAAATGTTGAATCAGAGTCCAGCTGTTGATATGTAAAGTATGGTATCGAAGCCTGTTTAGAAAAAAGTATTTTCTTGAGTTCTTCTGGTTTGGGATCCTGATAAAGTCTTCAGTTCTTCTCAGTTGTGTCTGAAGAAATGGCAGTTGCCGGCTCTATTATAGACCCAGAGCCCCCTCCCATCCAACACCACACCTCCTCTGCTCAAAAATGACGCATGTGGTTGCGCAATCCTCATTGGCTGTTGGGACACACCTTCACAATAGGGAACCCAAACTAGAAGAGGAAATATACTTTCTGATCCATAGCCCCCCCCCCCATCCCGTTCATCGCCCTCCCCTCTTCACTGCAGCAGTATAAAGTGACTTATTAGCCACTTTTTTAGGCATTCACATCAATGTCAACAGGAAGTGACATCCTTTCAGCTCTCAGCTTTTATTGAGGTTAGGTTATTGTCCTGCACGCAGAACAAGATATGATGTGCTTTTAACCTTGACTCAGGTTCTTAGGAAACATTTTGTTTTGATTATCACGTGTCTGACCCGTCCTTCTGTTAGTGTTTTCATTGAAGGGGATGGAAACACACACGTCATAACACATGTTGACTGACAAAAATCCATCTCTATGCTAGTTCCAAGGAACCGGAGTATAGTGATTGAACACAATGCTGTGTACTTTGTTTGCCTTCAATGTAACCAAATTCTACTGAAATTTGCAATTTAAGATTAAACAATGAATTGGTATACAATAATCCGTATATACAATAACCTAAATGCATCAAAATTAGTCTTGTCAAATGGTACATTTTTTTATTGTGATTAATCATACGTTTTCAATAGCTAATCGTAATTAATCACGTGTTTAAAATTATCAGGCTTTTATTTTGAATTTATCTTCTGTCTAAGCTGAGAGTACTTGCTTGTGTTTGAATTCAACCTGCTTTTATTTTGAAATAAAGTAAGGACCTTCTAGTAGATGGAAGGTTACAGCATTAACTTATCCGGAACAAAAGTAACGTTTTTTTTAAATATATATTATACATTTTTGGGCTTTTTATGCCTTCATTGGAGGGACAGGACAGCGGATAGAGTCAGGAACTGTGGCGAGAGAGAGAGTGGCAAACAACAGGCAGGAAAGTAGCCACAGTTTGGATTTGAACCAGGGCCGCCCGCCTCGAGGACCAACGCCTCTGCAAGAGCAAACCACCAGGCAACAGGTGCCTCCGAAAAAAATAACTCTTTAGGGATCAAAAACAAAATGAAAACAGTGAAAATGAACTGTAAAAAAGTGATATGTTTGATGTCATTAGGTGGATATTACCGTAAACTCGTCATCTGAGCGGTCTGAGAGTTTTTTTTAAGGTGAAATGAGACATTCAAATATGCAGCAGTGTCTCAGTTCTTTTCAAACTGTGACTACAGCAAAACATCCCGAAGTCTAATCCACAGTGCACCTCTATGGACAGAATGGCATGTGATGTATCACGATTAAAATAAATGAATGCATTCATTTCAGATGTTGATTAATCCAGATTGACTATATAATGCTGACAGCAATAATCATAAAAAATACATCCTATCAATGGACTTCTATTATTTGTAGTACTCCACAACAGGATACCACAGTTCAAACTGAAAGATATTGAACCTTTTCCTGCTGCTAAAAGCAATTTATGCACATCAATTAAGAATAACATTCAGATTTCTTTAGGGGGCTCTTAGTACAAATTTTCATGAATTCATTCCTCTTGGTAACTTTGTGAGTGTACCCTTTCAAACTGTCTATCGGCTAAGATGAATTCTTCTTTTGGGTGTGAACAGCATGTGAAGCTGTAACCATATATGGCTCAGACATCTCATAACAGCAGATCTATATTAGGATAGGAGCCAAGTATATGTTGTGAACATCTGTTTGTCTGCTGCACAAAAATCATGGTCATGTAATCTTTTTTTTGCCTTTTAGAGATGTACCCAAATGGAGAGGAATATGTGGTCTTGTAAGAGCCCAAAGTGTGCCCAAATATGGGGGACGGGGGCTCACTTTCGGGCCCTTACAGGGCTGTACCTTCCAACAGAATATTAGCAACTATACTTTGTCAGCAATTTGTGTTCTGTTGCTGTTTTCTGACCTCGTCCTGATAAATTCTTAAATAATCCACCCTCTGTTTCGCTATTTCATCATTGAACTTCTACAGCAGAAACAACCCCAACCTAACAGTTTCATTTTAACATCTATTTCCTAAACAACAGGAAATGATTTCTTTACCACATTAACTGAGAATTATATACATAAAAATGTGATCTGCGATATTTGTCATAAGTCAAAGGAAACAGCTTTATAACGGTAATTTGCAAATTGACAAACCCGCATTAATAGTATTTTTTTCTTTGAGTATTTATAACACCTTATTCCCAACTTCACAGCTGTGAGAAGCTTCCTGATGCTTCCTGTAGTTTTTGCTATTGCTGCTGGTAAGAGCTCACTGAAACACCTCGGTTAGAGCATTTATGCGTTGTAAAGTAGACAGATTACAACACATAATGAAGTAACAGTGCATTCCTTTGATCAGCTCATTTATGGTTCTTTATTGTACTCACGGGTTGTGTTGAAATTGTACACACACACACACACACAACACATGCAATCACGAGGAAGATCAGTCACCTGGACTGAATGTCCTGTAATCGATGTTCCTGAAATAATATGAAAGGATCGGTTTGTTCGACGATGTTGATGTGTGCACATTAAAGTGAGCAACTCAAGGTTGAAACAGCAGAAAACACACATTAGGACACTTAAGAGCAACAGGAAAGTTAAGAGGATTGAAAGCAGAAAAGTAGCTGAACAGTTCCTGTAATTGATTATCCACCAGTTGTGGAAAGCAAATCCTGTATCTTTTACTTACAGATATTAGGTACTGTTGTGAGAAAAAACTCTGGTGCAAGTAAAACTGTACTTAGTCAGCATGACAGGCCTTTTTATTCTTGTGATTTTTATGATAACTAAACTAACAAATAACCAGAATTACAATTTGTATGATAATCATTTTGTGTGTATTTGGTCAAATATGTACACAATGTCACCATATTATAAAAAAAATGAATCTAGTCGACCTCTGTTAAATCCGTTTTAGAGGACTTAACCACAATGGCAGACTTGACAGGAAAGGAGCCACAGGTCCGATTTTGTTGAATTCAATCTTAAGCCCATCAGCCCTATGCGTGATATAGCCTCTTAGAGCAGCAGACACTTTTTGGAGCTTCCCTTTGCAGCCAGCAGTTTGCAATATTGGGCTCCGTGCCAACCCTTCCTACTCTAGGCTTTTCCATTTTTAAGATTCAAAAGTTGAAAGATGACATCTTACCGCACTTTTATGCATTATGTCTGTTTAATGACATCAATTCATTAAAGCTTATTCAGGGTCATGTGACCGCAGATGCCAGCCAGGATTATATTTGGGTTGATGTGTTTCACTTCTCTTTTGCTCTCTTTCCAACTTGTCTTCGCTTGTAGACAATACCAAATACCAATGCCTACAGATTCTGCATTTACAATGGAGATCATCTGGACTGTAACTTGGACTTGAACTAAAGCAAGCATTGCAAACAGGTTGCCAATAATCAGGAGATCCCCCATTGGGGGAAACATGGGTGACAAGACAACTCAACAACAACAACACTTTTTGGTGAGTACAGAAGAAAATATACTATTCTGTAATAGAAACCCATGTATGACCTGTTCTTCCTGTGAAAGTGAGCAACACTTCCCTTGAAACTGCATCGATATGTATATAAGAGTAGGGTCTAGCGTCTCGAGGTTACATTTGTTGTGAACTGGTGCCATAGAAGATTGATTGATGCTCCAAGGAAAGGAAAGGGAACAACTCAAAAGTCAATTGATTACTAGATTATCAAACCACGACCAGTCATTGAGTCAGTTAAAAAAACATTATTGTGAAGAACAAGGATGTAAGGTTGTGCAATAGTGATGTGTTACAATGACAGACCATTACGTCTTGAGCGTGAGTTTGTACGGTTCCTCAGACAAGGTATTGAGAGAGTATGTGAGGTCAACAGGCGGGTACACGCGACAGATCAAGTCATCAGGACGCCATGACTTCCAAAACAAACTGTGATACTGAAAATGTCGGTTCCAAGGTTCAAAGAGACTATTCATTTATTTGTTTTTTAACAGGAACACATGCAATGAGCAATGCGCCATATGTCAACACACAGTAGATGACACAGGTTTCTAGTCGCAGCTAATTTGCAACACCTTTCCCTGGCAGGACAGATGCATTTATTTGTAATGTGTTTCAAAGGCGTGTTCCTCTTACTTAGAACCATGACTCACAAAATGTAGTTCTGCGTTTTGGTGCTCTACAGTTTCAACCGTAACCCTTGTACTGATTTCACTTTTTTCGGTTTGTTTACCAGCTGACAGATTGTCTGTGGAGCGTGGTTGTCTACAAAACTATGTTGTGTTTCTTTGGAATGAGTCAATAGTGCCATGTGACTGATTTCTGATCTACCTATACATTTTCAACTTCACTGCTCATATTTCAGTGTGTCTACATACAGTGCATACATATTTAATATTATCACCATTTGTTGGGAGCCTTTTTGTGAATTCCATGACATTTGAGCATTATGTCAAGAATATGATTTTTTTTATTCTTACCACGCTAAGTCAAAGAGCTGATGCTTCTTACAGCAGTACCTAAAAAAGGACGGTCACTTGGTAGAGGGGTGAGCAGCTGAAACCACTGACCAGAGATTTGACAACAAGGGAATTCTAGAAGCCCAGAGGGAGATCTAAGTAAGATCATTTGGTAAAATAACAATTGAGTGAAGCATTTTTTTGTCTTTGAGCCAGTACATTTTGTTTACATGGTGCTTACCAGTGCATTGGTCCCATTCAATGACTTCACAAAATCATTGGTTGGCTCCATTGAGGAGGGATCCCCAATGGTTACAGAAGATACCTTTTAGTAAAGCCAGACCGTGTTAAACAAGCTCAAAATTGAAAGACATTGTTACCATGGAAACTCTTCATTCCTTACAGTTGGGTGCCCTGTAATGTACCTCCAGTAATTAGTTATCCTCTGTCTGTTTTTAGAAAAACAATGGGCCAAAGGGCCA